AAATCGGAAAAAATTACAAATAAACGGATTATTCACGGCTTTAAATAAATATATTTATTTTTCCACCCGATAAATAACCCGAATCCAGCCTCGCCCCCCCCGAAAAAAGAACCACGCAGGGGCAGATTGGCCATGGAGAATTTATTTCTGAGCGGTTTTTTGGGGGTTTTTGGGTGTTTCCAGGTAAATCCGGACACCCCGGGGGATGGAGGCGGCCGGGGGGTCCCCCCAGGCCCGAAATTCACATTTTCAGCCCCAAATCGGAGCTTTGGGGGCGCTCCCGGTTTATCCCAGTTCATCCCAGTTCCCCTGTCCCTCCCCACCCCCCTCGCTCACAAGGAACCTGCTGGGTTTCAAAAAAAACCCCAAAAAAATTTAAAAAAAGGGTCTGATCCCGCTCCATTCTCTTCGTGTATTTGTCCAACACCTCCTTCACCCAATTTTCATTTTTTTTAAATTTTTCCCTCCGGTGTCACAAAGTTCCCAACTCCCCGGGGGAGATTTTGGGGGTTTTTGTTGAGTTTTGGTGATTTTTGGGTTTTTTTGTCTCTCCAATTGCATCTCTTTGGGACAACGGAGCAGAAACTTCGGGATTGGGAAGGAAGAGAGGAGGGGAAGGAAGAGAGGGGAGAAAATTGATAAAGAAAATGGAAAAAAAGGGGAAAAAGATAGAAAAAAGGAAAATAAGGAGAAACAAAGACAAAAAAAGAAAATTTAAAAAATTAAAAAGAAAAAGAGGGGAAAGAGAAGAAGGGAAGAAGGAGGGGGAAGAAAATTGAGAAAGAAATTTTTTTTAAAGGGGAAAAAACACAAAGAAAAACAAAAAAAAAAGGAAAAAGGAGGGGAAAATAGAAAGATTTTTAAGAAGAGGAGGGAAAAGGGATAAAATAAGAGAAAAAAAAATGAACCAAGAAAAAATAAAGAAAAATAAAGGAAAGAAAAAATAAAAAAGGGGGGGGAAAAGGAGGGAAAAAAAGGAGAAAAAAGGAGGAGAAAAAAGCAAAAAAGGGGGCGGTGGAGAAGATGCAGTTGGTGGGGAAGAAGCTGAGGCTCATTTATTAAAGCGAGCGCGGCTGTCGGGGTAATAGCAGACATAAGGTCCATCCTTTGTACGGGAGAGTAAACATGACAAATGGGGCCGAGCTCGGCGTGATTAAAGATGAAACAAGGATCCATCTCAGCCAAATCTCCAAAAAAAAAAAGGAAAAAAATCCTTCTCCAGCCTCCTCTTCCCGGAGCAGCCCCGGCTTTGTGCTCAGCTGAGCCTCGCGCTGGCCCCGTCACAAACAGCCTGTCCCCGTGGTTAAAATCGGTGTGAAAATGATCAAAATTCAAATTATTGGTGGGAATAACCAGTATGGGCCTGTCCCCGTGGTTAAAATCGGCATAAAATGATCAAAATTCAAATTATTGGTGGGAATAACCAGTATGGGCCTGTCCCCGTGGTTAAAATCGGTGTAAAAATGATCAAAATTCAAATTATCAGTGGGAATAACCAGTATGGGCCTGTCTCCATGGTTAAAATTCGCGTCAAAATGATCAAAATTCAAATTATTGGTGGAAATAAACACCACCTGCCTGTCCCCATGGTTAAAATAAAAATAAAAATTCAAATTATTAGCCATAAATAATGAGCACCCTGTCTGTCCCCGCTGTTCGAATCAATGTAAAAATTGATAAAAATTAAATTATTGTGTGTTTCCCTCTGTGCACTCGCACGAGTTCGCATCCACGCCACACGCGCGTCCAGTGGGGGGTTATGGGGATCGAGTTTGGGATCCTGCTCCTTGTGGGATTTCAGTTTGAGATCCTTGTGGGATCTGGGCTTGGGATCCTCCTTGTGGGATCTGCAGGTGGGATCCTCCTCCTTGTGGGATCTGGGTTTGGGATCCTCCTCCTTGTGGGATCTGGGTTTGGGATCCTCCTCCTTGTGGGATCTACAGTTGGGATCCTCCTCCTTGAAGGATCTGCATTTGGGATCCTCCTTGAAGGATCTGGGTTTGGGATACTCCCTGCAGGATCTGTGCTTGGAATTCTCCTTGAGGGATCTGGCTTTTGGATCCTCCTCCTTGTGGGATCTGGCTTTTGGATCCTCCTCCTTGAGGGATCTGGCTTTTGGATCCTCCTCCTTGAGGGATCTGGCTTTTGGATCCTCCTCCTTGAGGGATCTGGCTTTTGGATCCTCCTCCTTGAGGGATCTGGCTTTTGGATCCTCCTCCTTGAGGGATCTGGCTTTTGGATCCTCCTCCTTGAGGGATCTGGCTTTTGGATCCTCCTCCTTGAGGGATCTGGCTTTTGGATCCTCCTCCTTGAGGGATCTGGCTTTTGGATCCTCCTCCTTGAGGGATCTGGCTTTTGGATCCTCCTCCTTGAGGGATCTGGCTTTTGGATCCTCCTCCTTGAGGGATCTGGCTTTTGGATCCTCCTCCTTGAGGGATCTGGCTTTTGGATCCTCCTCCTTGAGGGATCTGGCTTTTGGATCCTCCTCCTTGAGGGATCTGGCTTTTGGATCCTCCTCCTTGAGGGATCTGGCTTTTGGATCCTCCTCCTTGAGGGATCTGGCTTTTGGATCCTCCTCCTTGAGGGATCTGGCTTTTGGATCCTCCTCCTTGAGGGATCTGGCTTTTGGATCCTCCTCCTTGAGGGATCTGGCTTTTGGATCCTCCTCCTTGAGGGATCTGGCTTTTGGATCCTCCTCCTTGAGGGATCTGGCTTTTGGATCCTCCTCCTTGAGGGATCTGGCTTTTGGATCCTCCTCCTTGAGGGATCTGGCTTTTGGATCCTCCTCCTTGAGGGATCTGGCTTTTGGATCCTCCTCCTTGAGGGATCTGGCTTTTGGATCCTCCTCCTTGAGGGATCTGGCTTTTGGATCCTCCTCCTTGAGGGATCTGGCTTTTGGATCCTCCTCCTTGAGGGATCTGGCTTTTGGATCCTCCTCCTTGAGGGATCTGGCTTTTGGATCCTCCTCCTTGAGGGATCTGGCTTTTGGATCCTCCTCCTTGAGGGATCTGGCTTTTGGATCCTCCTCCTTGAGGGATCTGGCTTTTGGATCCTCCTCCTTGAGGGATCTGGCTTTTGGATCCTCCTCCTTGAGGGATCTGGCTTTTGGATCCTCCTCCTTGAGGGATCTGGCTTTTGGATCCTCCTCCTTGAGGGATCTGGCTTTTGGATCCTCCTCCTTGAGGGATCTGGCTTTTGGATCCTCCTCCTTGAGGGATCTGGCTTTTGGATCCTCCTCCTTGAGGGATCTGGCTTTTGGATCCTCCTCCTTGAGGGATCTGGCTTTTGGATCCTCCTCCTTGAGGGATCTGGCTTTTGGATCCTCCTCCTTGAGGGATCTGGCTTTTGGATCCTCCTCCTTGAGGGATCTGGCTTTTGGATCCTCCTCCTTGAGGGATCGTTTGGGATCCTCCTCCTTGTGGGATCTGCAGGTGGGATCCTCCTCCTTGAAGGATCTGGGTTTGGGATCCTCCTCCTTGTGGGATCTGCAGTTGGGATCCTCCTCCTTGAAGGATCTGCATTTGGGATCCTCCTTGAAGGATCTGGGTTTGGGATACTCCCTGCAGGATCTGTGCTTGGAATTCTCCTTGAGGGATCTGGCTTTTGGATCCTCCTCCTTGAGGGATCTGGCTTTTGGATCCTCCTCCTTGAGGGATCTGGCTTTTGGATCCTCCTCCTTGAGGGATCTGGCTTTTGGATCCTCCTCCTTGAAGGATCTGCAGTTGGGATCCTCCTCCTTGTGGGATTTCTGTTTGGGATCCTCCCTGCAGGATCTGTGGTTGGAATCCTTCTTGAGGGATCTGGGTTTGGAATCCTCCTCCTTGTGGGATCTGGCTTTTGGATCCTCCTCCATGTAGGATCTGGGTTTGGGATCCTCCTCCTTGAAGGATCTGGCTTCGGGATCCTCCTTGTTGTGGGATTTGTGTTTGGGATCCTCCCTGCAGGATCTGTGGTTGGAATCCTTCTTGAGGGATCTGGGTTTGGAATCCTCCTCCTTGTGGGATCTGGCTTTTGGATCCTCCTCCATGTAGGATCTGGGTTTGGGATCCTCCTCCTTGAAGGATCTGGCTTCGGGATCCTCCTTGTTGTGGGATTTGTGTTTGGGATCCTCCCTGCAGGATCTGTGATTGGAATCCTCCTTGAGGGATCTGCCTCTGGGATCCTCCTCCTTGAGGGATCTGTGGTTGGGATCCTCCTCCCTGTGGGATCTGCAGCTGGGATCCTCCTCCTTGTAGGATCTGCATTTGGGATCCTCCTTGTGGGATCTGCTTTCAGGATCCTCCTTGTTGTGGGATTTGTGTTTGGGATCCTCCCTGTAGGAGCTGCCTTTGGGATCCTCCACCCTGTGGGATCCTCCTCCTTGTGGGATGTGACTTTGAGATCCTCCTTGAGGGATCTGCCTTTGGGATCCTCCTTCTGGGATGTGACTTTGGGATCTGAGTTTGGGATCCTCCTCCTTGTGGGATCTGAGTTTGGGATCCTCCTCCTTGAGGGATGTGCATTTGGGACCCTCTTCCTTTAGGGATCTGCCTTTGGGATCATCCTCCTTGTGGGATGTGACTTTGGGATCCTCCTCCATGTGGGATCTGCATTTGGGATCCTCTTCCTTGAGGGATCTGTCTTTGGGATCCTCCTTGAGCGATCTGCCTTTGGGATCCTCCTTGAGGGATCTGCCTTTGGGATCCTCTTCCCTGTGGGATCCGCAGGGATCTGGAGGAGGACCTGACCTGGTCTCGGTGCTGGCTGCATTTGGGATCCTCTTCCTTGAGGGATCTGTCTTTGGGATCCTCCTTGAGGGATCTGCCTTTGGGATCCTCTTCCCTGTGGGATCCGCAGGGATCTGGAGGAGGACCTGACCTGGTCTCGGTGCTGGGTAATGAAGAGCAGCCCCGCCTTTCCCCGCGGTTCAAATAATCATTAAAAAAATGATAAAAATTAAAATTACCCCGTTTCCCTCTCTGCACACGAGTTCACACCCCAACCGCGCACACGCGTCCGGCGGGGCGGTTATAGGGCGGCGGCCGGTCCGTGGGATCGAGTTTGGGATCCTGGCGGGATTTGACTTTGGGATCCTTGCGGGATCTGCCTTTGGGGCCCTCCTTGTGGGATGTGACTTTGGGCTCCTCCTCCCTGCGGGATCTGCCTTTGGGCTCCTCCTCCATTCTGCGGGATCTGGCTTTGGGATCCTCCATTCTGCGGGATCTGCGCCTGGGCTCCTCCTCCCTGCGGGATCTGCGCTTGGGATCCTCCTCCTTGCGGGGCCTGCAGGGAGCCGGAGGAGGAGCCGGACCTGATCTTGGTGTTGGGCAGCTTGTGATCCTTCTTCCACTTCATGCGGCGGTTCTGGAACCAGATCTTGATCTGGCGCTCGCTCAGGCTCAGGGCGTGCGCGATCTCCACGCGCCGCCGCCGCGTCAGGTAGCGGTTGTAGTGGAACTCCTTCTCCAGCTCCAGCACCTGCAAGATGTGAAAATATAAAAAAAATGAGGGGGGAATAGGTGAAAATGCAAAATAATGGGGGGGAAATGTGTGGAAATAAAAGAGAAAAGGGCAAAAAGATGTGAAAATATTAACAAAATGGGGGGGATAGGTGAAAATGTTAAAAAATGGGGGGGAAATAGGTGGAAATGCAAAAAAAAAGGGGGGAAATAGGTGAAAATACAAAATAATGGGGGGGGGGGAATATGTGGAAATACAAAAAGAATTGGGGGAAAAGATGTGAAAATACACACACACAAAAAAAAGGGGAAAATATTTGGAAATACCAAAGAAAGCAGGGGGGAATGTGGGAATACGTAAAAGAAAAGAGAAATATTTGAAAACACACACAAAAAAAAAAAAAAAAAGGGGGGGGGCGGGGGGGGGAAAAGATGTGAAAGCACCAGAAAAAATGGGGGAGAAAAAGTGAAAACACACAAAAGAAAAGGAAAAAAAAAATGTGTAAAGCACACAAAAAACGGGGGAAAATGTGAAAACACATGAAAAGATATAAAGATGTGAAAACACAAAAAGGGGGGAAATGTGAAAACACACAAAAAAGGGGGAAAAAGATGTGAAAACACAAGCAAAAAGAAAGGGAAAATATAAGGGGAAAACAAATTTTAAAAGGAGGGGGGAAAAAAAGAAAAGCAGAATTACCGAGCTGTTCCTTTCATGGGTTCTTTCCCCCCCTCAAAAAATCACCAAAAAAAAAGAGAATAAAAGTGTCACACATTCTTTGGAAGGTGGGATTTGCTTTTTTTTTAAAAAATTAAATAAATAAAAAGGGAAACGTTCTAAAAATACCCGCAGAAGGAGGGTGTAAATCTCCGGCTCGGGGCTGGACGTGGATTCGTGCCCAGGGTTTTCCTGAGCCCCCCCAGACGCGCTCCCCGAGCCCTCTGCCCCTGGAAATTCGCATTTATGCACTCGCAGCTCTGCCGGAGCAGCGCGGAATTCATTATCCCCAAAAGTTCCCCCTGCACGCTGGGAAAGGCGAGCACGGGAGGAGCGGGTTGGTAAAGGTCTCACTTTAAAAAAAAAATAAAAAGAAGGAAAAAGAAGGAAGAAAAAAAAAAAAAAAAGGGAGGAAAAAAGGGGGGAAAAAAAAAAAGGGGGGGGAAAAATGTGAAAGCACCAGAAAAAATGGGGGAGAAAAAGTGAAAACACACAAAAGAAAAGGAAAAAAAAAATGTGTAAAGCACACAAAAAACGGGGGAAAATGTGAAAACACATGAAAAGATATAAAGATGTGAAAACACAAAAAGGGGGGAAATGTGAAAACACACAAAAAAGGGGGAAAAAGATGTGAAAACACAAGCAAAAGAAATGGAAAATATAAGGGGAAAACAAATTTTAAAAGGAGGGGGGAAAAAAAGAAAAGCAGAATTACCGAGCTGTTCCTTTCATGGGTTCTTTCCCCCCCTCAAAAAATCACCAAAAAAAAAGAGAATAAAAGTGTCACACATTCTTTGGAAGGTGGGATTTGCTTTTTTTTAAAAAAATTAAATAAATAAAAAGGGAAACGTTCTAAAAATACCCGCAGAAGGAGGGTGTAAATCTCCGGCTCGGGGCTGGACGTGGATTCGTGCCCAGGGTTTTCCTGAGCCCCCCCAGACGCGCTCCCCGAGCCCTCTGCCCCTGGAAATTCGCATTTATGCACTCGCAGCTCTGCCGGAGCAGCGCGGAATTAATTATCCCCAAAAGTTCCCCCTGCACGCTGGGAAAGGCGAGCACGGGAGGAGCGGGTTGATAAAGGTCTCACTTTAAAAAAAAAATAAATAAAAAGAAGGAAAAATAAGGAGAAAAAAAAAAAAAAGGAGGAAAAAAGGAAAAAAAAAAAAAAAAAAAGAGGGAGGGAAAAAAAAGGGAGGGAAAAAAAAAAAAAAAGAAGAAGAGGGCAGGGGAGGGGAAAACAGTAAAACTTTACTCAATCCGCCACTTAAATACAAATTACCAAAACATAAAACTTCACTTAGGAAGATTCAGCAGCCGTAAAAAAAAAAAAAAAAAAAAAATCAGCAAAACACAACTAATAAACACATGTCTTAAAACAATAGATTCACAGGTACTATTCAGGGTATTTTTTTGCTCCCATTTAATCCCCAAAAAAGAAACCGGAGGAGGATGGTAACAGAGACTTCAAAGGCACATGGCCAAGCAGAGCAATAAAAATTTATGGAGGATGTAATTATAGCGCTCTGCAAACGGGCGCTCGTAAATCTCCGCCGAGCGCTCCTTTTACCAGCGCCGCGCCGAGATCTCCCCGAGACTCCGAGGTGCTGCTCCAACCGGAAAGCGAAGCCCCCTTTTATATTTATTTATTTTTTCCCCCTTTTTTTCTTCACTTACCCGTGCTTACATGGACTTTTTTCATCCAGGGGTAAACCACGGGCTCCCCGCGCGGCGCCGCGGGGCTCGGCCCGGCCGGGGGCGGGCTGGGGGTGCCCGGCCTCGGTTCCTCCGGGCGGCTCCGGGGCCCGGCAGCGGCGTGGAGCTGAGCTCGGGGGGCCAGCGGAGCGCAGGGCTGGCCGGAGCCCTGGCACGACGGGTAGAGCTGCTCCTTGCAGGAGGCCCGCGGCTCGTACATCGCTTCATGGTGGAAAGAGCTCTCCCGGTGCCTCTGGCTGCCGTAATATTCCGGCGAGTGATTGGGAAGGTAATCGCTGTGGGAATATTCTTCACAGGGTGGGAACTTGGGGTCCACATAGTTGGAGTTGATCAAAAACGAGCTCATGGCCATTAATTTCTTAGAATTGCACGCGCGCGGGGCGGGGGGGAAAAAACAAATTATATATAGATATATATATATATGTATCTCCCTCTCTCCCTCTGTCTCTTTCTCTCCTTAAAATTTATTCCCGTGCCCCCCACCCCCCCGCCTGCCTTTCCTGGTTTTCCTGTTTGGCGGAGCCCTCCTACTTACTGTCAAGTGAACAAAGTTGAGTCCATGTGACGGCGCGGGCCAATGGCGAGGGCCACGGCGAGCCCCGGATAAGGAAACCTGCCCAGCCCGGGCTCTCCCGGGGCCCCCCCAGCATCCCCGGGGGGCGTCCGCTGCCCTCCGGCCACCTCCGGCCACCTCCGGCGGCCCCGGGCTCGGCAGCGCCCCGCGGGCGAGCAGCGACCCCCCCCCGGCTGGCCCACTCCCCTCGGGGGTGTGTCCTTGGCTCGCCAGCCCCCCCCCCTCAGAAAGCCGGCCACCCCCCGAGCTGGGGTCGCCACCCCCCGAGCGGGGCTGGAGGTGAGGCGGGAGCCTGGCAGAGATGGATTGGGCTGCCGGGGATCGATAAGGAGCCCATCAGCTGATTCGGGGTGCCGGGGGTCCCAAAGCCCCCTCCGGCCGGGAGAGGAGCCCGCGCTCCGAGCCGCAGCCCCGCACTCGATGAGCAATTACAAAAGCCAATTAGCCCGAGCCCTAATGCCTCTTCGCCTCGCCCTTCTCGTAATAAAGACGCTTTAAAAGGCACGGCGAGCCTGCGAAACCCCCCCGAAACCCCCCAATTCCTGCGCCAGACCCCAAACGCGTCCGCAGCCGCGGCGGTGAAAGCGGCGCTATCAAGAATTGTTATTTAATTTTTAATCGGTGTCAGCGCCCAAAACCGCAGCAATTAAAGCACGGGCGGGCGAGCCCCGCTCTGAAATGGCAGCAAGAACGCCCGCGACCCCCTCCCCAAATCGCCCAAAGCCCAAATCCCCCCTTGCAGCTCCGCCGTTATCTCGGAGCCGATAAAGTTTTATCGCAGCAGCGCCGGAGTTGAGCTGAGGTCAAACGCAAAGGAGCCCTAAAGCGCTTTTTTCTGGTTAAACCCTCCTTTCCACCCTTCTGCTTTTTGACCCCGGGGGCGAGCAGCGCCCCCCCCCCGGCTGGCCCACTCCCCTCGGGGGTGTGTCCTTGGCTCGCCAGCCCCCCCCCCTCAGAAAGCCGGCAAAACAGAGAATAATTAGAAGGCGAGGTTAAAATGGTTTTTCAGGGGGTTCTGGGGGGGATCTCGGGCGCTGCCAATCGCCCAAAGCCCAAACCCCCCCTTGCAGCTCCGCCGTTATCTCGGAGCCGATAAAGTTTTATCGCAGCAGCGCCGGAGTTGAGCTGAGGTCAAACGCAAAGGATTTCTTTGGAGCCCTAAAGCGCTTTTTTCTGGTTAAACCCTCCTTTCCACCCTTCTGCTTTTTGAGTTTTTGGGGGTTTTTTTGGGGGGGCCCTCCTGGGTTTGTAGTGTTTGTGTCAACTACATATTCCCCTAGATACGAATTTGTGACCCAACTTCCTCTACACAAATTCGGATCTACAGGGTACATATAGAAGACAGTTGCGTCCTCCTCGGTCTCAGATCTTCTCCTACCGCCACAATTCTCTTCTGGGGCAAAATTTTGGGCTTTTGGCAAATCGGGGCTGCGCCTCGGCAAAATTCGGCGCTGAGGGGGAAAGGCGATTCATTAAAGCAGCGAGGCTGCAGAGCGCACGGAGAGGAAAATCAGGCTTTTCCACCTTTCTCTCCACACCTTGGGGGTTATTTTGGGGTGAAAAAATCAGTTCCCGGGGTGAAAGTGGAGGTGCAGGCGCGCGACGAGACGCGGACCCAAAAATCCGCCTTTTAAAAGAGAAATCCCCCGAAGCTCCGTCCCCACCCCGCCCTGAAATCTCGTCACGATTTTCTGGTGGGCAGCGCAAAGATTTCATCCATTTTTCGTTCTTGGAGGTCACCCAAGGTTTGGGTTTAGCGGGGAAATGATTTAAAAAAAAATAAAGGAAAAAAAGGAAAAAAAATGAAAAAAAAAGGAGAAAGAAACAGATGAAAAGAAATACAGAATGTAAAGGCAGATGGGACGACAGGTTTTTTTTTAATGACAGGCAATTCTTTTTACAACCCGAGAAAAAGATCAAAGGCGTTTCATTTCCGAAAAAAGGGGATATAAAGCAATAAAATATTCATACTGTCTAGGTAATGAACCTTCATTCGGAACTAATGAGGGTAGCATCGTGTTGAGATTTCGTTTAAAATTACAGTTGCCCAAGAGATTCAAAGTAGAGCAGCCCCCCTTTCTTTCTTTTCTTTTTTTTTTCTTTTTTTTTTTTTTTTTTTTTTTGGTGTGTGTGTTTTTCAAAAGGCAGAACATTTTCAGGTCAAGTATCTCGCGAATTAATTGCATTTAAATGCCGCAGCAGAGAGGGCATCAGGGAAAAGCTGCGTTTACAATTCCTGTCACTAGATTCGGCGGATTCCAAGAACTGCCGCGTTTTCCCTAAAAAAAAAAAAAATTAAGATTTCTGGCCAATAAAATCCCCCCATTCTGGATTTTTCAGGTGCTTGCAGGTGAATAATCGCTTTTCCTGCTAAAAGCTCCGGGCTAAACTCAGAATAACCAAGCGGCGCTTTCAGAACAAACCAAAAGCATCGAATAAAACCCCAAAATCATTTCAGACCCCTCAGAAAAAACCGAATTTCCGGCACGAGCAGCGAAATCTTTTTTGCACCGAGAAAATTCCCCACCTCCCGCAGCAGCAGCGGCTCAAAATTCCCCTTTTCCTCCAAAACCTGCCAGGGAAGTGAGGAGCCAAACCAACAGCGCGGCCGCGGATGCCACGAAACAAAAACCGACAGAACCAATCCGGTCCGAGCCCCTTTTCTTTTTAATTTATCCTTAATCCCCCCTTTATCTCTTTTAGATTTTATTCCTCCTTCCCGACCCCCTCCTCACCGATTTCTTTTATTCCATTTTCTCCCACCCCAGCGCTAGAAATAGCCAGGCCTTATTCTTTATTTTTTAACCCCCTCCCACATCCCTTTAAAAAAAAAATAATCTTTTTTTTTCCGCTCGGCGGTGACAGCGCAGGGCCGGCCTTTGCCAACCAGCACCCCTAGCGTCGGCCAGAATTTATTTTCCCCCACCACACCTCCAAGAAATCCCAAATTTCCAAACCTCCCCCCCTCTCCCCACCCTCCTCACCTTTGGAAGTTTCTCACAAAAATTTGGGGTTTTTTTGGGTTTTGTTTTTTTTTTTTTTAAAGCCACAGAAGGGATAACCCATTTTTCCTTTTTTTT